GTTTTTTTGGTTGCCTGCAATAAAGTAGAACTTCTGAGGCTTACTATAAGGATGAAGAAGGGAGAAGAAAGAAAGCTATGAATGGCATGCAAGAAAAAACTCTGAGTACTATGTATTGTATTACTTACTAACAGTCTGCAAATGCACAAATTTTCATTTTTGATTGCGACAGTATAACTAAATAGCGACGGCGCATACAAATCTTCTCTTCGGGGGGAGGGAGGAGGGTGGAGGGAATAAAAAAAAATGCAACAAAATTTAATTCTGAGTGAGTGGCTCAATCGTCCACGAACTCGAGATTTTTGGGAAACATTACGACCGATTTGAAATATCAATCTATGGACTCGGGTGGGTGGTGGACAGTACATCAGATTTCGACAAAGGTCTTTACGAGCTCTGATTTCCGGTCGAACTAAAGTGCGGTTCATAATTATACGAACACCTAAAATTTTGTAAGCTTTCGGACTTTTTGAGAGAAACTCAAAAAGCCGTTGGTACCACGCGATAGAACACAGCCGAAAATGGTATATGATCCATAAGAAGGGAAACTGATGTCAATCTTAGGAGTGTTTTTGCGATTAATGCGAATTTTTAGCGGTTCATAATTATACGAACACCTCAAACAAAGGCCCATTTTCCATTCAAGATTGCAATCATCTGAGTCCAAATTTTTTGTAGAGTTACAGTAACAAAGTCTAACATATCTGCTACACACTGAACCCAGTGCAGTTCAAAAAGAGGGCCGTTACTTTTTTCAGAATTCTCTAAATGCTTTTGGAGTGATTGTGCTCCAAAAACATCCGTTCTTCTGTGGTTTACGCGCTCTAAATAGCTTTTACCAATGCTAAGAGATAAAATAAGCTCTTTCGATAGGTATTTTGTTTGACGCTTGGAAAATCTCTGCGTTTTCGTGCCGTTTTCCAACCAAGTTCCAACCTTACCACAGAGTTAGCACGATTTCGAGCCTCAATACTCAGCTTCTCTCTTGTGCAAACATTTGATATGAAGCAGCTGCATTGTTTGCATGATGATGTTTCTGTGCCAAAGTTTTTGGGTTTTTTGTAGAACTGATCTTGAGGCTGTGGAGCTACAAACCAAATAAAGGTGTGACTGCAATAGTAAAAACAGTGTTTTTGGTGAAATGACGTCTGCGTGGCCAAAACAAACGCTCAACGCTGCTGATTTTTTCTAGCCAAATATATAGTCTTGTGAACTTCTACATACTATATGCTTACTTCATTGTCGGCTTCAGAAGCTGAGTTTTGAGGCTCGAAATCGTGCTAACTCTGTGGTAAGGTTGGATCTTTGTTGAAAAACGGCACGAAAGCGTGAAGATTTTCCAAGCGTCAAACAAAATACCTATCGAAAGAGCTTATTTTATCTCATAGCATTGGTAAAAGCTATTTAAAGCGCGTAAACCACAGAAGAACGGATGTTTTTGGAGCACAGTCACTCCAAAATCATTTAGAGCCTTCTGAAAAAAGCAACGGTCCTCTCTTTGAACTGCACTGGGTTCTGTGTGTAGCAGATATGTTAGACTTTGTTACTGTAACTCTACAAAAAATTTGGACTCAAATGATTACAATCTTGAAGAGAAATGGACCTTTGTTTGAGGTGTTCGTATAATTATGAACCGCTAAAAATTCGCATTAAGCGCAAAAACACTCCTAAGATTGACATCAATTTCCATTCTTATGGATCATATACCTTTTCGGCTGTGTTCTATCGCGTGGTATCAACGGCTTTTTGAGTTTCTCCCAAAAAGTCCAAAAACTTACAAAATTTTGGGTGTTCGTATAATTATGAACCGCACTTTATTAGAACACCTGAAAAATAGTTTGTTTGTTGTTTATTTTGTGGAAATATTACATATTGATTTTTGTGTGGATCAGTGGCATCCCAGGATTTCCGTTCGGGGGGGGGGGCAAAATATTTGTTCAAATGAAGGTGCGTTAGCCACGCACTCCAAAAAAATTTTTGGGATGCTTCTCAGAATTTTTGCGAGCCCATAACCCCGCGGTACCCCCCCCCCCCCCCGAAAAAAATTTTTTTAAAAGACTAATTTTAACTTTTAAACATTTATAAAATTATTTTAGTTATTCAAGAATAAACAAGTCATTTGCACATCTTCATAAAGCATGGAGCAACTGAAGGAGATTTGGATAACTAACTCTGTTTGTTGGAAACATATTTCTTCGATAACGAAATAGTGCACAAAACAAGAATGGTCAGATTTCTTCCTCAAATTTTGGAAAAAACATGCTCCTAAAAACGAACTGAAGTCAGGTGTAAAATGCAGTTTTGGTACCCACACAAATTTGTAAATTTCCAACCATTCCATAGCCATAGATGTTCAAATATGCACTCTGATTAGCACAAGTTTGACTTTTCATGCGCAAATGCCTGAAAATTTTCACATTTTTAGTGCGAAAATTCACAAATATCATAGTTCGCTATCTAACCGAAGGTTATATGTATCCAGCCAGTTTACTCGTCTGTACACTTACTAGAGGCTGGGAACGAAACTCACAAATTTAAAAAATCGTAAGATCATAACTGTCAGTTTTTGATGATAGAAAATCTTGAGTTCCTGATATTTGAGAGTAGAAATTTGAAGCTATAGCTGCTACGTGAATAATTATAGAGCTTTGAATTGGGTAAGGACTATGTGTCGCCGATAAACTCCACCCTCGCACGGACAGCTACCACAAATCTGTATTACCTGCAATTGGCATGGCTGCGTGGTCTATCGCAGATGCCCGCGTGGGACCATCTCCTTTCGGTGGCATGTAGCCTTCCACCCCTCTGAGTTGCATATCAACACGAACCTATTTATTAGCTAAGCCCATATAAAAGGTAAAGACGGGTTATATTAATTTTACTCATAACGAGTATTCTCCCCATCTTCTTACCTTTTCTCCCAATGTTTTTATCGTCATAGGAGTCGCAGACATCTTTCTGCGTAGGGTTAATTTGTAACAACATACGCCTGGGTTTCCGTACCACTATTCATCCCTCAGCTCCTGTTGAAGCACTTTTTCTGCTCGTGTTTATGAGCAGCGAACAAGACTTTGTCGTTAGGCGAGACTCTCGAGTGATTAATTGCTGTATAGGTACCGCTGCTGTCGCATCCATTACTTCCTCACGATCTCTGCTGGTGTTGATCAAAACCGAGTCAGTGCCGCTTTTTGTGTCAATGTTTTCGTCAAATAATTTAGCAAGTTTGTGTTTTTGTCTGATCAAGGGTATTTTCACGGGCAGTATACTCTTTCAAAAAATCGAAGTGAATTTTTGTGGATTCAAGCCGAGCAAGTTGCTTATTTCCATCTTTTGAATGCCTTAGTCTTTCTCATTTCTATCTTTCCTTAAACTACACTTGAATACCCTGCTTGTTCAAAGACTCCGCAAAGAGTAATATAAATCTGTGTGGTAAAACCCTAAGATTAGCACCAAATTTGTGAAAAGCGGTACGACTCTGAGTACACTTTTGACAAGTTACTAAAACATTGAGAGATAGTATTTTGACATTTGGAATTTCTGAAGGAAGATGGATTGATTCAAGTTCCTGCACTTTGCAGCTGTTTCCACTTTTCATCGAGGTACTATTAAACAAGACAATATAAGCTTAGCAAAATTTGAGTCGCTTGACTCACTTCCCCTATCTCAGTGTTGCATCATATTTCACATTTTTTGGTATTCATCTCAAAGATTTCGAAGATTCTGACGTCTACTTGTTCTAGACCTTGAAGCTTTTCAAGCGTTCAAGATTCTTATACAAGAGTGACTCCTCTGATGAGTGATGAGTATATCATACTTGTGGCACGGTTAGTTTTGCCCATATCTTGCTTTTCTGATACTATAGCAGTACACTGTATCTATAACGTCGTTTTAATTTCTTCACTTGCTGCGGTCAACAAATCTTATAGCTGGTATCACCCACTCAGCTCCTTTTCCGTTTTCTCTGTTTTGCTTCCTCTAAGAGCTACGCATTTTTGCAATATCATTGCCATGCTTCTTCGAGCTGTTTTAGGACGCTTAAGTTTTTCTGGCGTCTAGAAAATTTTACCCTTTTGGAAAATACGCTGGTGCTTTTAAAGTGGTCTTTTTTGCTGTCCTTTGTGTAACAATTTTGTCAAATGGATCTTGTAGGAAACAAATTTGAAAATCAAACATCAGATCGGAAGAGTCAAGTAGTAGCACTCAAAGATGTGCTCTATTTGTATAGTAATCTATTCTCTTTGGAACCTATTCAAAAATTTTGAACTTTTGAGCACCACTTGGAAACGAGAGGCGAATAAGCTGATTGCATATTCACCCCATAATCGTCTAAAAAAGAGACATATGCTTTGGGACAAAATGATAGATCAGCTGCTTTAGCATAGTAATATCTATTGGACCTTTCTGACTCAGCGATTGGAAGTGAGGTGAAAATCCATTATGTTCCTAAATTTTCCGTTCCTTTTGATTATTTTTTTGCCATTTAAACATCTTAAACTGTGAGATGATTATCTGCTAACCAAGCTTTTTTCTTTTGGCAATAACATCTTCGTTTTACCCGGGATTTATCGTCGCGATGTTAATTACACACAATTACGCTCACATATTGGCACATGCTCACTTTCAGCAGAAAATGTTAACGCACAGTCATAGTTTTCTCGCCGCATCGTCATCCTTATCGAAACAGCAATCATTCCGGCGAGACTCTGAACAACGTCTTCGCGCGAAACGACTGAGCTTGCGGAAAGAATCGCTATCTGTTGGACCTAGAGCTACAGTGAGCGTTAGACTACTAAACTATCACACGGTACAAAATTCTCTCGCGGACTCTTTGTTTTAGTCAAACATAGTAGACATTGTTAAGCTTCTTTTACAGAATGATGTTGACGAATTCAGTGTCGTGAGTTTCGTTGTGGAAAAATTTAGATCAGGGTTTTAGAAAAGGAGAAGAAACACCGTAGTGATGAAGAAATGAAGATGTAAAAGTTGTTTTGAATTTTTAGATCACTCCACATCAGTACACTGCCGATCCAACGTTGGCATGGGAAATGCTAAAGGAAAAACGACCGGTAAAGCCCGTTCGACAGGTAGACTATTTTGCAAATTCTTGTTTTTTCTCCAAATATATTTTGACTTTTATAAAAATAGTACGATTTGCACCTCTGTAACTTCCTTGGTGCAAAAATTTTACTGGATCAAAAAAAGGAAAATTACACTTGAACTGACGAGGTAATTTTAATTTTTTTTACAATTTTACACCGTTTTGCACGCTGTTGTTTATAAGGGTACATAAGTATGCACAACGGTCTCAATTTGTCGTGTGCTGCCGGGGGGGGGGGGTATGGAAGGAAAGAGGAGCGCTTGAAACTCTGTTCAATAAGTGACTGCCTTCGACGGAGTGCTGCCTACTGTATCCGAAAGATTTTAGTATGGAATGAACTGGTTACGGTTATATCCTCTGGGTGTATGCCAAGATGAACGATAGGTGGAAATAAGCATACTGTACTCATGCGGTTGTCAATATGCCGCGCCTAAAGTCTTATTTTTTTGAAGCGATATGTTCTTCACCGGGTTGTAAATGGCGTCGAACAGTAAGAATAAGGCGGTACAAAGCTCCCATCGTTTTTTCCAAAATTTTAAATGTCATCATAACGTAAATCTAGAATCTAGGAAATATTTGACCTACGCAACGCATATGGCTGGCACAATCTATCGTTCATGTTGGCTGCCCCCCTATCCTCTCCTATCTAGAAATTACCCACTTGAAGGAAATCACACCAATACGACTAAAGAAATGAATTTATCCAAATGTGAAATTTCGTCAAAAAGGCTTTACATATTGTATAGATGATAATATTTAGATGGGACTTGACACTCCAATCAAGCCAGATCATATACGATTCGTATGTATCGGCTGCACACATGGCACAAAATTGGATCCGTCTCGTATACCGCCGGGTGACGTTCTTCTCGTAACCGGCGATTTCACAACCTGTGGATTGCCTAAGGAAGTGCTCTATTTCAATAAATTGCTAGGTACGTCCGCGGACAGTCTATAAAAATGCTTTCATTTCTTGAACATAAATTCGTTTTGTTATGATATGTTCTTTGCTTCTTTTGTTATGCGGATTTTGTTCAGTGAAAAATTCTGATCATCTCATCTTGCTAGACCTCGTGATCGAAATACTGAATTCTAATGTAAAGCCAAAAACATACATTACGCGATTTCACGCGGCGCGATTTGGCAAAACTCAATTGGTCATAATTCTTCATAAGAGGTTTTTGAATGTAGGAAGATAGGGCACTTTATCAACCTACGAAAATTATACATGCTGTGCTTTTGAGGCCTACCAGTATTTAATTTGAACTCTGAAAGTTTGCCGGATCGCGTGGCGAAATCGCGTGAGGTATGTTTTGGTCCTAAGGCATTTCATTGTCTTCGAGTTGCCCATTCTGGGTTGCCAATTCAAAATTACTAAACTCAAAATCTTTACCTTTCAGAATGATTAAAATTATATCTCAACTGTTCCAAAAATGGTTACTATCTAGGTCAAATGAAACACGCTTACAAAGTTGTTATCGCCGGCAACCACGAGTGCACCTTCGACGAGTCATTCCTACGATCTTCAAGTGGGTCATGCTATCATTGTTACGATTTTGTCAACAAAGAAAACACAAGTGAATTTCTCCGTCTTTGTGCTTCACTGTTAAATACTGGAGCGCATTCTAGATCGGGAAATGGAAGCCAAGGAAATTGCCCTTAAGCAAGCTCTACAAGCGTCTTTATCGTCATCGAAAGTTACTTCACCCAAAACTCTCCTTACCAACGCTATCTACTTGGAAGATTCTGTAATCGAGCTGTTTGGAATCATCATCTACGGATCCCCCTGGTAGGCTCTTGTTCCTTGGCTCCAGCTGAGAAAATATGTACAGTCAAGGATTTCTAATTGGTGTATTTAGGCAGCCCCGAGTGGACAACTGGGCTTTTAATCTGCCTAGAGGACAGCCGTTGTTAGACAAATGGAACAACATACCTGCTGGAGTCGATGTATTGCTGACACACTCACCTCCTCTTGGTCAGTGCAAATTTTTTCTTGGCTGCATGAGCATTCAGAAAAACTATAATGTGTATACAATGCTAAATAGGAAGAACAGAAAGGTCTGCAAGGCAAAAATTTTGAAGCATTATCTGCTTTCATTACAAAAAAGAGAAATTATTTCTTTGAAGCAGTTTAGATCCAGATGTTATTTTACGTTCGGTTGGAATGAAAGCAGATTGCGTAATTCTGACTTCAAAATAAATACTTCGGGTGTTATTTTTGCGGTATGGCGAATGACCTTTGTGCAAAATAATTCATAGTTTCACTTACGATGAAGAATAATTTTTGACTTAGAGAATCCTCCAAATAGCTAAATAGTTATAAGCGAAATGACACTACTGGTATCTTACAAACAATCTAAGTTTACAAAATGAGGCGCACAGTTCTTTCAAGTAACTCACAGCGTAGAAAATGTGCTTTACAATTTTAGTTTTATGATAACCAAGAACAATTTTTCTGAAAAGTCAGATTCGCAAAAAATCAAAAAAGTTCTCATCAATTCAACGTAAGTATACTGGCCCTTTTAGAAGGATTTAATATTTCCAGTCAAATAAAATTTGTTTGGTTCCAGGTCACGGCGACCTGATGCTTGATGGACAACGGATGGGTTGTGTGGAATTGTTGAACTCGGTCTGCAAACGGATAAGACCGAAATATCACGTATTTGCACACATTCACGAGGGTATTACAATAAATCATTTTTCTTCCAAGCTCGTTGCATTCTTTAATCTCATTTCAGGTTACGGGTGCACGTCTGATGGATATACGAAGTTCATAAATTGCTGTCTATGCAACGAAAACCTTGAGCAAACGGTAAGTTTGTTTCCTTGGAAAATCCACGGCTCGAGATAGAGGTGGGAAGAAGGGGGGGGGGGGGAGGGGGAGGCGAACAAGATGAAAATGGGTCGAAAAGGGGTTGGGACATGTTTTTCGCATTCAGCTTGATTTTTAGACAAATCGCCTTCATATACACAAAGAACAGCGAGCACCCACAATAAGCGACTTCTGGGGAGCAGCGATCGGTCCTCGAATTTTCTTAGAGTTACCGTACCTCTTACTACCTCAAAATTTTTGGACGTAGCACAAGTAGTTCATTTTGAGTATGGGTGTACTTTTTTCCAAATTTCCTTTTTATGATGCTTTTTACGATCTTTGTATTCATTCAGAAATTTTATATTATATTTCAGAACTCACCCGTAATCTTCGACATGCCAGTACATCCGCAAACAAAGCAGTTCTACCTACAGAATGTGAAGAAAATAATGAAACGATACTATCGTAGCGAGAAGAAGTGAACAACGTCTTTGAAAAATCTTCACGCGCATTCTTCACTTAAACCTCATTATCACTGTACATATGTTGTCTCAAGCTGATGCGGATAAAGATTTTTGGTGCTTTCTTCAGAGAATTACATACCTGGTTATGGATAGGTCAGTTGTAAGCAGGACCCTAATTGAATTTCTTTTCCGAGTGGCTTGCAATTCCTCAAAGTTCGGAATCCGAATCACAACGCAAAGAAAGGCCTATTCCTAAATTTGCAGCAAAGAATTTGGTTTAGGACCATTTACTTTGTCAAATAGAGGAAAACAATCTGCTTAAGATTTTGTGGATCACATTTGCAATGCCTTTGCCTTTAATATGTTCACTTAATCTCTTTCGCAAAATTCCAGGAATCGTGCACTCCTCTTCAGCCTACTGCTTTCAACAATCGAACAAATCCAACAACTTTTGCAGTTGCGAATTCGTGCACTTTTTAGCAGCGTTTGGAACAGGAAAAGATTATTGGCAATCGCTCAGATCCTAGTTCGAGACAAAGCATTAACGTTTGAATTCCCTTGAGTAATGCTCATACGACGCTGTGCTTATCTCAAAGGAGCGCCAGGGCAGATTCTCGACTTCTAATTTTTTGCCTTATTCACCTTTCATGGCGCTGATTCCAAATGTAGCACTCAAAATGCGTGAATTCTTCAAAAAACCCCATCCTTTAGACAATTTTGTAAGAACCGTGGATTGCTCCTATGTTATCCTTGTCGAAAGCAAGCATTAACAGGTAGACATCATCTGTTCGATTGTGTTTGCCACGTGAAAACACGTCAAGGACTGAGGAGAGTTCTTCACGGGGCGGGCCGTTCGAAGAAGTGGGCGTGGTCTTCAAGGCTCGCCTTTTCTGCTCCGATTTCTTCTGCAGGGAGTGTTCGAAAGTCGGATTTGTGCGATAGTTCCTAGATCGAGACCGTAGTACTCGGTTATGATAGTGTTCGAAAATGTCCAAATCTGCCCGGACGCTGCCTTTAAGGTCTGGTCATAGGATTGAAGGATACTTAGTAAACAAAGAACTGCAGAGCGAAAAACCTGGACCAGAAGCTAGCATACTCACCATCGCACTTCAAGTGCGACCACTCTCTATATTCTACTAGTGAAGCGGGAAAGTGTTAGTAAACGCTCTTTCAGAAAGTCCTTTAGGTTTTTTCGACCTATCATAAAAAAGTTCAGTGAAGATGAACATGAGCGCTGAGATTGCTTTGCAAAAATGCTTTGTTCAAGCTACTCAGCGCTCTTCTTCCTTCCGCCTGTTACGTTTGTATCGTAACTCTTTTGATCACTGAAATATGGCCGAAATTCTGGAAGCATTCTTCCCCATGTGCGAATTTACCAATTTTTCAAAATCTTCGTTTTGAACTTTGAGAAACTTTAGCAGCAATCGGATATCATCAACAAAACGCAATGCAATGCAGTTTGACACCTACATGCTTCTACTATTCTCCAAAATAATTTTTTCGAAAGTCTTCACTATTGCGAAAGTAAAATACGAAGATGCTTCCTAATAAATTTTCGCAATTCGAAACTTTCACGCAACAGTCATGATTATAACTAATATTACGAAGTAATTGAGCTTCAAAATATCGAATTTTGCATTTTCCGACTACAGCCTAGGACACGTTCAATTTGAGAATTATGATAATTTTGTTGCTGAAAACTTCACAGATTGGGAAGAACCACCTGACAGAGGAAAAAGGTGCATCGAAACGCCTTAATTGTGCGCCGCGATTTTCTATGAGGTCTGGTATGGCTAAAAAATGGAATTTGATAGCATCGGGAAAGCATTTTTTTTTTGAAATTTCGAAAAATTACAACAAATGTCGAAAAAATTACAACGCATTGCAATTGGTTTGCGCTATCCAACTGCTACCAAAGCATTTTCCAAAGCCTAGAATGAAACTTTTGAAGAATTGCTGCTGGCCATAGTAAAAAGCATGGGCTGGATTTTAGCGATTATCTAACCACAAGAGAACCCGCTTCAGAAACATAACGCGCGACGTGAGTTGTGACTAAAAAATTTATCACCTTTCTGTGGGAGACCATCAGAGAAAATTTGTTGGGGAAGGGGAAGAGGGTAGAGGTGCAGGTATTTTCTTCGAATGAACTAGCATGGCCTTTGTCACGCCTTCCCTAAAATTCTTGAAATGGCTTCCAGATTTTTTGCGGCTCTAACTCTGAAATCCTGGAACCTCGAAGAATGCATATTCACATTCCTAATTAGATGTTGGACATTGAGCTTAAGGAATAGTAAGTGACTTTCAGAAGGCAAAGTGGAGCTATATCATGGAAATTGTTTTTCACTTGTTACCAACCTTGTAGGTGGCTCAAGTTCTGAAAGGCTGAAAATGTCGATTTCAATGCTGCCCAGTGCTGCTCCGGATCTCCAGTATGTTATTATAAGGAAAGGATACCAATTTAACTTGGCAAATGAAGACATATGTTCTAGAGGCGTGTTTGAACGCTTGTTTCGATCTGCTTGCCTTTTTTGCGAAACATCTTTCCAAAAGTATTCATTAGCATCTAACGAAAAGCTCTAAAAAATCACGTAAAAGTGGGTACTCAATTTTGTTTGTGTAAATGGATTGACTACAAGGAAGGAAACACAGGCGGAGAAAATCCTCATAGGTGATTTTGCAGAGCTTTTCCCTGATACATCTTTAGCTTAAGAAATCCAACAAACTCTTATAACTTTCTCCTGAAACTTGTTCTGCAAAAAAAGCAAATTTGGTCAGTGATATGGATATCGTCTTCAATCTCCGCCAACTTGAAAGCAATGTCCTGGCAACATTTCATTTCCCAGTTTTTCACATTTTCGGAGTCTTCTTGCCACGGGATCCATATCTGGGATTCCAGCATGGAAATGGCAAAAGTAAGCTTTCTCGAAACTTATACGTCGGCAGTCTAAAATAAAATACGTGCATAGGCGGAGCCCGGAACGAAACTTTGCCGGAACGCTGCCTTTAATTTGGTATCCTTCCCTTATGCTAGAGAAAGGATTGCACAAAGGTGGGTGAGTTGCGAGCATCTTCTAAATAGGCAAATGTAAAAAGCTAAGCGGATAACTGAACTGTACAATAGTACTTTAAAACGAGGTGCTACAGAACACCATTATGCTGCTCGTTTTTACTGTGACTCAAAAGGGCATTTCGCAAACGAGTTCTCTAAACTCTTTTCACTCCTGAGGAGGTGAGGGTGATGGAAAAACAAAACTGTGACCGTTTTCTCTCCTTTTCATGCTATTGAATATGCAAGTTTTCAAGGAAAGCGGTAGAGTTTTATTCTTTACACTAAGGTCGACCAGTTTTGAGAATTCGATAAGATTTGCTTTTCATTGTTTTCTGTCACTCTTGATTTGGCTCCTACAATCACACTTCGCTAATTATATCGTAGCAAATAGACTACGCATATTCTAGCATCACTTATCATTCTTTTTAACTTTGGAGATTTCTCGCATTTTTGTGGAAAACTCGAATTTTTTCACAGTGCGTCATGGTACAGAGAATTTGCACTCGCAACGATCCGGCTAGAAGCAGCCCTTCTCTACCAAAACTTCTACAAACAAAGAACTGGTTATTTAGGTGGACATTTACTGTGCTGAGTGAATAAAAAACACCTTACGGAAGCTATCGTTTATTCAACCTAGATTTAAGATTTGCATGAAACCAGTATTGCTGTGTAGAAGTGTAAAACGCATTCGGGAGAGACCTCCCCTCATTTCAACTCTTTGCATGCGATCAACGATTCTATTTTTCAGTTCTTGAAATTATTTCGTTTCAATTTCAAATTTCACCGTTTCTTCGCAGGTCAGTTACTCTTCTCCATATATTTGATTCGTACTCAGTTGTTGGACCAAGTATTTAATTATCTTTTGGGAATTGAGTCAAACCATTTTTATATTATAGCACAGTTCACCACTGCAGCGCTAATCTGAGAGCTTACCAGGTATTTTTAGAGTAAGTTTTGGTTGAAAAGTTAGACTTTTGTGAAGCGCATCCCTAGAACAGATAGTAATGATCTAATCATTGAAGCGATTTTGAATGTGCACAAAATTTTTGAACAAAATGCTAATTTACAATACGAAGTATGTAAATTGATAATAAATAGATAATAACACATAGACAATATACCTAAATCTAGTAAGTCTCAAGTTCAGCGTGGCCATATCTCGCTTCATTGTGGACGAACTCTGACAAGGGCACCATTCGACTCAGCTTATAGCGGCAAATCTTCCGCTGTATAGAAGTGACTGTTTGGACACAAGGTGACCAGATTCCACGGGTTTCTGAATTTGCTTACGGTTGATGACTCGGTGTGCTGCCCATTCATTGCGCGCTGGGCAACCTACCATAAGCAAAGTTCAGAAACAATTCGTGGAATCTGGTCTCCTCTTGTGTCCAAACAGACTCTTCTATATAGCGGAAGAGCCGCGCCTGCTGAGTCGAATGGTGCCTTTGGATGAAGAATTCGCCCCCTTTGAAGCGAGATATGGCTACGCTACGGTGATGTTACATGAGTCGGGCGACTTTGCGTCGTTTTTTTTCAGAAGATACGAGTGGTATTGTACTTGAATTTTCAAAAAGAGTTGGGTGATTATCATTGCAGCTTGCTGTTTTCAGAGGTGCTACTACTTTTTATTTCCACCAAAAACCATTAAAAGTCTTGGATCGGTTGTTCATCTTGCATACTACCTTAGTCTTTACGTAATTTTACATGAGTCATTTCCAGACTTAAGATTACAAGTGCTATACCTTACAAGCTGCTCAAAATATCGTAATTCTCAAAAAACTAAGCTTTATCCTCATAGTCGAGTCAATGCGACGGAAAAATTCTGAAACTATTGATTGCAAACATCACAAAACTTTTGATTCAAATTTGTAAAGCATAATAATGCAGCATTTAAAATTTCGATCTTTGTAATATGCGTAGATCTTTTGCACATATATGTTGCACATTCATGGGCGGGCTGGATAAATTTTTTGAACTTCAATTCGAACTTTGCTATTCTGAAGCCTTACATTTCATCGAGACAGAGTTTTTCATACAGTGACACCATTACAGCAGTTTGTCAAAAAGCTCCCACTTTTATCTGGACATTGAAGCTTGTTGGCTTTTACTCATACA